AATAAGAGTAGCCTTTACTCTAACACTTCAATGGTGCTATGATCTTATAGATGTGGGAGCTTGTTCTTCTGGGGCAGATGGCAACTTATCCATACCTTTATATCCTACATGATCCTTATCCAAGTCTTTCCATAAATCCTCCACGGTGGAGTTATCAGACATGCTTGGATATCTTCCACAGGTTTTGTGTTATATCTATCTGTGATTTATTTATTACATCTCCCTGTATGTATGTTCTACTCCAGTCTCAACCCCTTAAACCATACCTTTTCTCAAATCTAGGTCTTTACTCATATTTCCCCCTCTGGCAATGTTCCCTTCTAATCATCCCTCTGTCTATTCACATTCTACCCATCCTTTCAGGTCTAATTCACTGCTTATGTTCTTTCTGAGGCTTACCTTGACTAGTCTGAGTTCTCCCTTCTCCAAAGCTCTATAACATTTAAGTCTATACTATCTTGTCTTACCCCTTGGGTGGGTGCGTCTTATTTCCCCACAATACTGGATGCTCCTGGAGAGCCAGTACCAAATATTCAGTATTTTGCATCCTCCCCAGCATTTAGCACAGTGATTGTCACACTGGGAAGGTTCAGTAGGAACTCCTGGATTTAGTGATGAAACAAAGAGAAAGGAACTTTTCCTCCTGCTAGCTTTATTTCAGCCCTCTTTCCCCAACTATGTTAGAGTGTGAAATCAGTTTTCTCAGGGGAGTGAAAGGTTATATATTTATTTTTCATGGTAACTTCTTCAGCAACAGTTAAAAAGTCCCCTATGACTTTGACTTCATGCAGAGACATCTTATAGAATCACAGACTCACAGGTTGCTTGAGCTGAAAAGAAACTTTATGATCATCTTTATGATAGAATCATAAAATGTCTGCACTGAAATGAGACCACAGAGATCATCCAGCCCAACTCCATAATTTTAAAGATAAAGAAATAGAGAATGCCCAGCTTCTTCATCTGTAAAATGAGGGCATTGACCCCTAGATGATCAATCTTAAGTGCCCTTCTAACTCTAAAAACCCCATGATACAGAATGGCTAAAGAAATTGTGGTACATTAATGAAATGGAATACTCATGCAACTAAGGCTGACAAGAATTAGGCATGCAAAGATATATGGAAAGACCTTCAAGAAATAATGCAAAGTGAAAAAAAAAAAGCAGACCCAGAAGAATGGAGTATGTTGGATAATGGAGTACATTATGACTATGTTAAAAAAAAAAGGTGACTAAGAATAAATGGACAAAGGGACATTCCTTCTTTCCTGAATTTCATAGAGGAGAATTGGAAAGTTTAAGTGGCTTGTTAAAGGTCATATAGTTTGTGAATGGCAGAGATGGAACTGGAACCTAAGTCTCCTGACCCCAAATCCAGTGTTCTTTCTACTATGCCATATTGTCTCAATGTTGTGTCCTTAGTAAATTTTTAAAAATTCATTTTTGAAACCCCAATTGAGAGAACTAGAAGAAACAAACCTCAGGCATCTTTATTAATTGTAAATATTTCCAGGTCTTCTCATCATGGACCCCTAAAATTATTACTGAAATTACTTGTGATTGCTTCAAAGAAAAAAAATGCCTAAATCTTCTCAAAAACACCACATTTGTTTTCCACTGCATGCAGTTTTAATTTCCATTTGGACCTGCATTTTTGTAGTTAGTGGAAAGGACCAAAAAACAACCTCTCCAGAGAATTCTGCTATAGCTAGAAGTTTATCCGAAAGGTCCCCACATTGGTGGGATACTTTCAGGTGGAGTCAATTTATTCATTTCACATTCCAGAGATAAGAAGGTATTCAAGAAAACAGAGACAAAACAAGGGGCAGAAATGGAAAGGGTTGATATTTTTTCCCAAAGTGGATGAGGCTCAGAGTTTAACAGGTTGAGAACTCTGTGATCATCATTCTGTTGCAACTCCAGACAGGGATGAAATTGCATAACTGTGTATGGAAGATACCTTCAAAGAGAAAAAATGGGGTGTTTGGTGAGAAAGAAGCCTCCCTGATAGGAGGGAGTGGGAACTATACTATCCTTAAGGGTGTTTGGGATCACAGATTGTAACCTGGAAAAGAATTTAAGAGATCATCTTTTCCAACCCCCTCATTTTACTCTCTGGAACTGAATTGCAGAGAAGTTAAGTGATTTGCCCAAGGTCAAACAGGTGGTAAGTGGCAGAGGCAGAATTCGAACTCAGGGCCTCTAATCTCCAATCTCTGGCACACCACAGCTGCCAATAATTATTGGCAGCTTAGTCAGAACACAGAGTTGGATATGACCTTGAGGCCACGTGTGGCCTTCTAGGTCCTCAAGTGCAGCCCTTTGACTGAATCCTGGATTCAGGGCTACACTTGAGGACCTAGAGGGCCACATTAGGCCTTGAGGCCACAGGTTCCCTAGCCCTGGAACAGTCCCAAATTGGAAAGTGATATTGAAAAGCCAGTTACATTGTATGTCATCTTCCCATCTTATAGAATCTAGACATTCTAGAATACAAAATCTATAGAATCTTATAGTATCTAGAATTAGAATTTAGAATTCTTTTAGAATTCCAGACAAGGAAATGAAATTGACATCAAAGCAATGTCACTCCAAACATCAGGTATGTTTGTTTTTATCACTTGTATAAAGAGGAATCTGTACACACACCTTTCTGGGCTTATTTGTCAATTAAATATTTAACAGCTCTCTTCTTCTGTTGAACTCCTTTTTGGAATCCCCTAGTATGTTCTGCACTCTGTTTTACTGCTTTCAGATGAAGCAGCCATTTGGAAGGCACACCAGTGGCAGTGGTTTCCCTAGCAATGGTAATTATGTGAGAGTGCTCAGAATAATTCCACCCCCTTTCCTTTCACTACTCATACCTGAGGCATCTGCTTCTGGAGGGGAAAAAAAATAATCCAGACAGCAACTGTTTGAACTTCCTTGTAGAGCCAAAGCCAAGGGTGTATTTGCTTTGTTGGTGAGCTGGGTAAACGCCCTGAATTCTCAGTGCAAGAATAGAACCTAAACAGCTTCTAATGACTAACCACATCTGGCTGGGAAAAAGACAAGCCAAAGAGCCTCCAAGAGGCCATTCATTTATCCAAGGGCTCAGGGTTTACATGGCAAACCAGGAGAGATCCAGGAGTCAACAGCTATTCTAATGAGTGCACCTCTGCTAAAAGAAATCACAAAATGCCACAGCTTTGCATGTTATCTGCAAAAGTGATTCAAAGAAAGAGAAAGCATATTTGTGTACCTCTTTATCTCCCACAAAACACGTATTTTAACCTGATAGACAGTTAACTCTTCTAAGCAATCAGTAAGATACCATCAACTTAAATGCATGTTCCATCCTGTTGGAGAAATGAAGTACAACAGCTTGCTATTGAATGAGAATAATAATTAAAACACACACGCACACACACACACACACACACACACACACACACACACACACACATTGATTTGATCTCTAGAAATACATTCCCTACAGATCAGGCAACAGAATACCTTCAAACCTTGAGAATGGCAAACTAAGACAACACAGACCTTTTTCCAAAACAGCTTGCCCAGAGGAAGAGAAGTGGGAGATTTCTCCTTTGTTCCATTCTTTGCTGATTCAGAGGATGCTGTCGTCTGTTGCTGAGCTGAACAGTCCAAGCCTTTAATATTCTTCTGCGTCCCCTGGGCCTCAGGTGATGAAGAGGTGGCTTTGTCTGATTTTATATTAGCTGAAGAAGCAGGTGACTTTTCAGCACCCTATATATGTTAAAAACAAACAAACCCCAAAAGACAAATAGTTGCTCAAAATGATCAAAAAGGGAAAGATTTAAAAGGAATGAAGGTCCATTCCACCTAAGAGCTAATAATTCTTTAAAAGGCATGATGAACTAATTGGGGACATGAAGCTAGACTATAGCATAGTCTAAATCTAGACCAGGATGAAGCATATCGACATATTTTTAATTTGTTATGATTAATAATAACACATTTCTATATGGAGGTGGGTACGTAGCACAGCAGAGAGAGAGCTGGACCTGGAGTCAGGAAGATATGAGTTCAAACATGACCTCAGACCCTTCCAGCTGTGTGATGCTGGCAAGTCACTTAACCTTTATCTGACTCAGCTTCCTGAACTATAAAATGTGGATAATAATTTCACCTACCTCCTAGGTTGTTTTGAAGATTAAATGAAATGATATTTATAAAGCACTTATCACTATGCCTGGCAGATAGTAGACAAATAAATACTTTGCTTTCCTTCCCTCCTTCCCATCCTTCTCATCCTTCCTTCCTTCCTTCCTTCCTTCCTTCCTTCCTTCCTTCCTTCCTTCCTTCC